CTCAATACAATACTTGACAACAGCTTAGATTCTCAACTTAACTAGGGTGCATTTTTTAGCACTTTCACCTCAGTGATTTTGTCAATGTGGTGATCCAAAGAGTCATGTTTGATATAAATTATATATTGCTGCAAATCACAGAGTGATCTCATGCCAGATCAATATATTTGGTGATAAACAAAAATAGAAGGTTGTCTAGTATGAAATAATCCAAAGGAAGTTAAAAATACTTATGAAGAACAATGAAACTGAAAAGTAGAAAAGCTGAAACAAATAAAGAAAGAAAATGCAAAAGCACTAATGAATACTATTTAAACATCTTACACATTCCAGACAAGTCACTAACACCTTTGCTCAATTACTCCAACAAGTATCTGGGAACCAATTTAAGGATAATAAAAAACATGAAATAGAAATATATAAATGAAGAAAGAGGTAGCAAGATGTTCAGGTCTCCAGACTTTTACGATGCATAAAGAAACAGTATTAACATTTCAACATTTCCATGTTCCCAGTTTTAACAGCTTGGACAAATAACTGACGACAACAAACATACCTGTACTTCTTAAGGGATTCCCTGTAGAGCTCACGAACATGCTGTAGAGCTTCATCTTCACTATATTTGGGCTTGAATTTTGGTGGACCTCTCCATTTGGAAACAGGGTTGCATGTTACAACCACAACAGTGTCTGTATATGGAATACACAGGTACTTGACATGCTTATTCTCAGACAGCATCTTTCTACAAAGGGAAAAAAATCCATTCAACATTTGATACTCAAATATTCATTAAAAAAAAAATGTGGTACTCAAACAAGTCCTCCATGGTTCATTCTTGGATTTTGGAATATGCCAAGAGTTACAAGCAACTTCGAAAAAGAAAATGAAATATACGAACATCTGGCAATTTATCCTTGCTAAAGAAAATTCGTGAACCAATATTCTTGATCCCAAATTTTTTGAGCATCAGATAAATCTTGGTAAAACATGTGATGGAAAAAGCCTTATGCTAACAAAAGCAAACATGCAGGCAAAAGTCTTGAGGTATCAACCTTGTAAAAATTCTATTTAGACACTTTTCAGTTGCTCCCTTTTGGAAAGTTGAATGATGACTGGACCTACCCCCTAAAAAATCATACCGTAAAAGCAATATATACCCAAAGGATCATTATTATTTATTAACACAAATTACCCACAAGATGAGCATCCAAACTCCAAATCCAAAGTTGGACAATATCAGTGATGGTTCTTGATTTTCTAATTTTTAAGTTGCAAAATAAACTTAAAAATAATTTTATGAAATATAAGGGAGAAAGTGAACTGTTCATTCGCACTCTAACTATAACAAATGTATTTTGCTAAATGAAAGGACCATAAAAGACCAACTTGTGATTTTTCTTGAGCTCTTTCAAATTTGAGACAGTTGTATGCTCCACGAGCTCTTGCCTCTCAACACATTGGATGGTCACTTCAGCTACGACTGCAAGGCCCCCAAGACCACAGTGAGCTAGATAAAATAGCTCAGGGTCCTTCTCTTTTGAAATCTCTATTGTTCCTTTTGCAGGGGTAACAAGTTTCATGCTAACAATCTGTTCATCAATGGGAGGCAGTCTAGCACCGGTACCATGTGCACCAACCTGAAGTCAGATCATAAGAAAGGAGCAATCAGCTTCAGATTTTTACCTGAAAAGGATCACATCTTGAACGGAAATCACTTGGTATAATTTCTTAGCAACACACTTCATTACCCTATCTCTAAAAGACACATGTAGACTCCTAGGAAATGTTTAAGCATGTCACTGCCGGATATTTTGTGAACATTAAAAAAACCTGACTATTGGATGCCTAACTAAACCTGCTACCAAACAGCAACCCACTGTAACATAATGTGCTGCATAAAACAGTTATCTTTGCTAGTTCTTTTGCTTTTGTTTCTTTTACTGACCTAGAATTCTATATATCATCCAAAATTTTTTGGTGTGCGTCTGGCCTACTAGTGGAGAAAATCACTACCATCTAGAAGGTTTGAACTCTTCTATTTGAAGCATGATAAACCCATAGTTATTAAGAAGAAAATGTTCCATGGTTTTTCAAAGCAATGGGATGAGAGATTGAGGGCATAGAGTTGGGTAAGCAAAACTTTACTCCAGGTTAGCCACAGGGAAAAAATTGTCAAGATGAGAAATTTATTTGTTAATAAGAATTGCACTCATTTTCCAAACACTAAAAAGTGAAGTACTTGACAGTATTTTCTTAACTTCCCTATAAACTCAAGCACCATTTCTTAACAACTGACAAATATTACTCAACACCAAAACTGCTTTATCTTGTGATTACCATCAATAAATTCCTAGCATATAATATCCCGCATTTAAATTTGATATTGAACTAACATACACAGATTTGAAATTGAATTAACAAAAGAATGAGTTCTCACCCAAAATCAAAAGAGACCCTATAACTAACATTAGCAATTCCTTTTCTCACTTCCAATAGAAAAGACCAGTCCTTAAAGTAAGAAAATTGACACCCAGAAAGCTATATGCAAGAAACAGAACCTGAACAATGCCACCAATCTGCTGCTCCCTTATGGAAGCAAAATTCTGCATGGTAAGCCCATGTTCCTTAATTGCCTCCACCAACCCCTGCACCCTTATCCCTGCCTGCACTCTCACTTGCTTCCTCTCCTTATCCACCTCCAGCACCTTATCCATCAACGCCAAATTCACCATCCCACCCCTGGCCAGCCCGACCCCATTGGGGGACAGACCAGACCCAACAGGCCGGATCTTCATCCGCTTCTCATTCGACTGTCTAACCAACTCCTCCAGCTGCTGAAGGTTCTCAGGCTGGTGGAAGTGACGGGACTGGACCCACTCCAGTTTGACACAGTGTGAAGGTCATCCGGCAACGGAGCGTACCGGAAAATCTGGGCCTTTTTGTGCTTGGCATTTTCGGCGAAAGGGAAGGAGTAGTAGGTGGCCGCGCCACAGAAGAGGAGGAGCGCGGTGTAACCGACGTACTTGCGAAGCTCGGCGTCGGTGGAGCTGGAAGGAGAGGCGGTGGTGGAGAGAGTGCGGATGGGGGAGAAGGGCGGTGGGTGGAATGGGGGTTTGATGGTGGTAGTGGTGGCGGCGAGAGTTTTGAGGTGGTGGTGAAGGTGGCGTTTGTGGGAGAGAGATCGGAACATGGTGGGGAGTTTCGAAGAACCAGAGGATGAAGGGTTTTGGGCTTTGGATCATTTTCTAGGGAAACAAACACGCGAGAAGTACTGTAGTAACACTATAACCTAAATGGTCAAAGGTGTGGCTCGTTTGGATGGGGTGTTGATGGTCATGGTGGTGCTGTGGAGTGAGTTCTGGCCATTCTAAAACCACGTAATAAGAGAATTAAGGTGACTGTTGGAACACATTGAAAATTTTATTTTGAGGTGATGAAGCGGTTCGTGGTTTGGAAAACACCATGGCTCCATGACCAGTGAAATGAAGAAAACAAAAAATGGTGACCAATGAATATTAAAAAATTTTATGTTATGCAATCTAAATTAAAATGATATATAAAATATATAATAGTTATTGGACGGAATAATTTTTAATATAAAAAAATAATAAATATTATGTCATATAATGTAGTTTAGTTCCTAAATTACGCAAAACTTTTTGAATATTAAAACACAATAAGTATATTGTCTCGTGGCATGATGTTAAAAGGGTCCGACACATTAGAAGACACTTTTACCAAGATAAAAGAACTCAATGCGAGAGAGTATAAGCCCCAATGAGTGAGGAAAAAACTGCAACTACCCACTAAAATAAGTCCAGATTGAAGAAGGGTTTTGCCAAAATTAAAAACAACTAACACGTCTAGAGATGATCAATTAATAATTACTAAAGCACCATAAGTACACAACACAAATACTAAAACTTTTATGTGCAATTAGTTTCTAAGTAGCACTTAAAAACATCAATTTAGGTTGGGAATCAATGAAAATTTTATTAATGAATCTTCATGTATTTCTAATTCATTATAAATATTTTTACGTTTTAATAATTAAAATATTAAAAAAAAATAAAAATTTAAATAAAAATTAATAAGTAAAAAAAGTATTTGAATAATTTTATAAATAATTTTATAAATAATTTTGACATTTTAAATGATAAGATATCAAAATTCTAAACAAATTTGAGAATCCCAAGATTCTCAACCTCTCCTTTCTTTATTTACTCCCAGAGGTACCGCCAGCGGCGGCTTACATACTTGTTCTCCCGCTATAAGCTGAAGAACAGAAGTTAAAGTTAGGGTGAGGTTACACCAAGGATAATTCTTATGAACAAAGAAAAATCGAAGTTGTAATTGATTTCAGAAGGTTTTGCAATCTCGAACATGTGTGGTTAATCCCTGCGTGATCGGTAATATGAAATATCATGTTCTTTTCACGAATGGCTAGCTTGCAGTGCATGTTGAGGTAGTGAGGGAGAAACAAATCGTGTGTGTTGCATTATGGGGTGGTGGGTTTGGGATCTATTCTTCAAATCAAAGGCCACATATAAATGGTCTGCAAAAGTTTTGATATATTTAAAGGGTTTTTCAATGTGTGTTTTTAATAGTGTATTAATTGTAACTTTTTACAATATTATTAATATATATAAACAAACATTGATTTTAATTTATTAATTGTCTAATTGAAAACATTTACATAACATTAGTGTTAAAATTAATATCAATTTTTTTATTTTTTCATATAAATTAATATCTAAAAAATACATTTATTGCATAAAGAAAGCCATATTTTAAAGTATTAAAAATGATGCATTTTCCTTTACAAATGTAAAAAAGAGAATCCTTCAAAAAATATTCTAAGCAATAAGGATATCAAAAATATTATTCTAAGTTTACAATATGTTGTGTTATTATATAATTGACTTTTTTCATTTAAAAGTTTACTTGTAATATTATATATATTAATTCATTTAATAGTACGTTATACTTATTTAATGTCACGTTATAATCATAAATTTATAATTTTATGTGACATTATAACTATATTATTGCCATAAAGATATACTTCAAATTGAGTCATCCAAGGTAAGTATGAAAATCATTATTTTTTTATTTTAAATTAAAGGCAAACAAGTTTAAAAATGTGACTATACATACAAGATGCAGAAATTAGCTAAATTGGTTATGTACTGAGTGTGTATCAATAATTTTCCTTAGTAATTTTAAATGTATTGGTAAAAAAAAGGGTTCATATGGTAGGTATCAAAAATGATTTAAGCGTAAAAATTAATTAGTTTAATTTTAAAAAATAAAGACAAATTTTCATAATTTGTTATATCTTTCTATGAAGTAGCTTCTGGTTTGTTTCATCATCATATACTTATGTTATTGCTAAGCATGTTATTTCAAACTTAATGCATGTGTCTTTCCTCAATTCTTTTTTTTTAAACTAATATTTTTTCACATTATTTTAGATTTTCCTTCTTTTTTTTTTTTTTTGCATGTATTTCACCTTTATTCACTTACATTATCTTCATGTGTTTGTATATAAGTGTATATATATTTGTAAGTTTCTTTTTATTTTAGTATTTTTTTTTCTATTTTTTACTATTTATCCTCTCTTCTCTCTTGTTCTTTTTTAATCATTTATTGTATAGGTATCTTTCTACTGTTATATATCTTTTTTTAACCCATTTTTCTTCCTCTCACTCGCTTTATATATCTTAAAAAGGAGAAACCCCTACATTTGCCCTCAAAAAGGAGGGCAAAGACAAATTCTCCCCTTAGAAAAAGTAGGGACAAATTGATGAAAGTATGAAAATATATATTTAAAGTGTGCTTAACTGTTGATATCTGTGAAATTATGGGTTTAAGAGTTGTATTTTTTACAAGTAATTTTATAAGTGTTCATTCTATTCATGTTATACAAAATTTTGATGATTAAAGGTTTGATAATTAAATAGAGAGAATTAGACAAAAAGGACTTAAATGCAAAGAGTCAAGAAGATGAGGGTCCAAGGATCCAATTTGAAAGTTTGAAGGCTCCAGTGGGATTTTCTTCATTTTTTATTAAGGAGCAAAGTTGGTGAAGTTGACCTGTTCATGAGGTGTTGGAACCTGTTTTCAAGTTTCAACTCCTGACTAATGCAAAGGGATGGACAGTAGCAAGAGAGGTTCCACACTCTGTGATCAAGTTCCAATTCCTAGTTAGTTATGCACAAAAACAGAAACATTTAGTGTTCCACACCCTAGCTTGAGGTTCCAACCCTTGCTTGACAAGATTGCGCGGGAAGAAAAAAAAAGAAAATTAATTTTCCATGACTGCTATCCCAACTACCAAAGACTCCTAATTTGTTCTCAATAATAATAGAAGTTTTTAAAACTAGGTCAAGTATCTAGAGAGGCCATTCCTAGACTTCTATTTTTCTTCTTTTTAAGTGCTAAAAAATTATGTCAAAGTGTAGTTAAACGTTCAACAAGACTAGGGATGATTTTGATTGAGGAGTTTGACTTATTATTTTATTTTAATTCTTTCATAGATTTTATTGTTTAATTTTTTTTGGAGAGATTATTAGTTATTTTTAGATTTGAAAACCCTAAAAGCTAGATTCATCAAATTTCATATAAGATTAGTCATTCTCTTTTTATGTGTAATTTGTTAGAATATAACCGATAGATAGATTTGTTTTATGAGTTAATCCTTTATTGCATTATTGTTGTTAGATATATTGTTGTTCTCGGATAGCTCATAAAGATAGATTAGTTTGTTCTTCATTGAAATTAATTTCTCTTAAAATAAACACATTAGTTATTATTATTCATCTTTAAAGTTATATCTTTCAATTATTTGTTTGGGATGTGAAACATGCAATTAAATAATAAATATGAATCAAAATTTATAACAGTTGAACAAATCAATTAACTGAATCCTAAAGTCTTGTTCATCATAATATTGTTTTTGATCCTTTATAATTATTATGTTTTATTTAAATATTTTTATTCTTAATTTAGAAATCATATTTTAATTTAATTTATGATTGTGATAACTCTTTTTGTTGGTTTAATATAGCTTCCTTGTGGATTTGATACCTAAAGTTACGCTATAACAATTGCTTAGTTGAAGGGTATTAATTTTGGGGTGAGACATTGCAAATTGCCCCTCCAAATTATTGATCAAGACAAATCATCTATTATTTAATGTGTGATATGATTACATGTCAGCTTTCCATTAAAAAATGCTTAGGTGGCAAATAAATATCTTACATGTGATAACGTCATATGTTAAATAATGAGTAATATGTCTTGATTGATAATTTGAAGCAACAATTTGTCCTTACCCTCTTATTTAAAAGGCAAATTTGGGGGGTTCTACCTCTTAGAAATGTTTTCACATTAAAACATAAAAGGTACAACTTATTAGTTTTATTCTCTTGGTTCTTAACTTTTCATTTACCTTTAGTCCATCTAGCAATAATTTCTGTTGAGCCTCTATCTTTTAGCTTCTCCCCTCACATTTTATGTCATTATATTTAATTCTCTACCTCATATATTTTCCTTTCTTTTATTGTACTCTCATCCCTATTGTTCCTTCCTATATATTCCATGTATCTCAATCTATTACTTTATATCCTTCTTTTTTTTTTTTTTCTTTTTTTTTCTTTTTTTTACAAATTTTCTATTTCAACATGTTATTAAAAAAATTTTATGTCGAAACATAAAAGAGGTAACTTCTTACTATTATTCTCCTAGTAGTTTTTCATTTACTTTAACTTATCAAAACATAAAGTTGTTTAAGATTTGTTATGACTTTTCCAATGAAAAAACAATTATCTTTAAAAAAATAAGATAAAAAGTGGATACATCTCAATCAGTTATATATAGTAGAGAGATAAATAGTCAAGCGTTTGTATAAGTGGATCCTAACTCTTCTTTCATCTCCTTTGTCTTTCATTTTATATAATTCTTTTTTAATCACTATTTGTATCTCCATCTATGATTATATCTCTATTTTATCATAAATTTTCTCTCTTTTATTGTTCATATTAGAAATGATTTTGGCCAAACTATAAGTGGCACAACTTCATAACATTCTTCTCTCGTAGTTTTTTTTTTTTTTTTTCACTTACCTTTACTCCACTTCTCTTATTTTTTAATTTTTCTTGTGACTCAATCTCTCAACTTCTCATGCAACATTTTGTCTTTATACTTATTTTTCTATTATGTGTTCGCCCTTTCTTTACCTTTATAAATTTGTGATTTATTTTCTGATTATTCTCTCTCCACTTATCATCCTTTCTCTATTGTTCTTTCTTAATCATTACAGGCATAGTTACCTGTCATTACATATCTCTTTGTTTCTACCCCAATTTTCTCTCTTGCTATTCGTATTGGAAACTTTTTAGCCCTTCATCATTTCCTTGTTTCTCCATGTATCATTATTTATATCTTTTTAACCCTTATTTTTTTTTTCTCCCCTCTTCTTTATATTCTAAATGTTTTATGTTAAAACATAAAAAGTGTAGCTCCTTAGCATTATTATTCTCTCAGTATGTTTTCACTTGTTTACTCCACTTTTCATTACTTTTCTTGGGTTTCATCTCTTAGCTTACTCCTTGTATTTTATCATTATATATATCTTTTTACTTTATGCTCGCATTCACCCTCTATCCATATTAAAATCAAGATATTTTGATAATTAAAATATTAGAACTAATAATAAAAGGACTAAAATATCTTTAATGAATCAATACGCATAAAAGATTCATTAAGGATATTTGAACAATTTCATAGGAATTTCGGAAGGCAAAATACTCAAATTCACCCCCAAAATATAGTAGCAGGGACAGATCTACTCTCGAACAAAAAACGGGGACAAATCCACCCACAAAGTTTTTGACTTGGATAAATCATCCCAAATTTAACGTGTGACATCGTTTAATATCAACAATCCGTTAATTCGTTAACGGATTGCTGACGTCATATGACATCAAATTAACAGATTGCTGATGTCAGATGACGTCACACGTTAAATTTGAGGTGATTTGTCCAAGTTGAAAACTTTGTAGGTGGATTTGTCCTCATTTTTTGTTCGATGATGGATCCGTCCCTACCACTATATTTTGGGGTTGAATTAGGGTATTCTGCCATTCGTTAACGGATTGCTGATGTCAGATGGCGTCAAATTAACAAATTGCTGATGTTAGAAGACGTCACACGTTAAATTTAAGGTGATTCGTCCAAGTTGAAAACTTTGTAGGTGGATTTGTCCCCGTTTTTTGTTCGATGATGGATCCGTCCCTACCACTATATTTTGGGGTTGGATTTAGGTATTCTACCATTCCTAAAAGTGTTAGGACATCCTAATTTTCACTTTTTTCTTTATATGTTACTATTTTTTTTATCTCCATTACCTTTCCTTTGATATTTTCTATCATAAACTCTTTCCTTCTATATTATTTTTTTATTCATTCTTTGTATCTTCATTTAAGGATTCATATAACAAAACCTTTTAACCACATGTTGGTCCAAGTGGAAGGAGCTCGGTTCCCCTTAAGTAAGGTTTCGAGTTTGAGTCTTGTGAATGGAGAAATAGGTGTTGGGAGAGCTTTCCCTTAATGAGGTCTGACGTGGCTCGATTCCAGATTAGTTGGGATCCAATGTAGTTACTGAATACTGGGAGGTTAATACAAAAAAAAAAAAAAAATAACAAAACCCAAACTATATATACATTAAAAGTGTAGTATGCCTTAAGAATTTATTAAAATATCATCAAAGAAATTACATAAGAAATAGTTTCATTAAGGTTATTTTAGTAAATTCATAGTGCAAATTGCACTTTTAATGAATAGTTCACCTTGTAAAACACTTTCTTGCTTCATTTATTGTTATACGTTTATTTTTACCCTACTTTTCTTCTATTTTCCACTATCTATATTGGGGCTGAGAATTTGAAATCGAATCGACGGGTTACCCGAAAATCAAACCAAAAAAATGAATTTGGTTCAGTTTCAACGATTTTTGACTTTTACTTTTTTGGTTTTGATATTAATCGAATAATTTTGGTTCGGCTTTGGTTGAATCTTTCAAAAACCAAAAACCAAAAATAAGCCCCTTGAAAATTAAAATTAGGATAAATATGACAATATAACAAAATATGATAAAATATGTGATAAAATATAATCTATTGTTAGAAAAATAATTGATTAATATTTATTTAGTAAAAATCAAAACCGAACCGATTTTATTGGTAATTGAACCGATCAGTTGGTGAAAATTTCGATTCTCAAAATTAAAGAAAATTTTTTTTTGGTTATTCTAAAACCGGTTTCAATTTTAACCAAAATCGGTTTTTGCCCACCCCTAATCTATATTAGAAATGTTTTAAGCAAAAATATAAGTGACAAATTTTTAACATTATTTTCTAATTCTTGTTCACTTACCTCAATGCCTCAAGGATTCTATTCCTTGTACTCTTTTAGAAGTTGTTTCAACTATTCTCATCATAATTCTCCTTTTAGTTCCTTTTTGATGTTTTTTTTTCCTCTTTTTAATACAAGAAATCCAACATTAATAACCCAACAAAAGTTTTAATATAACTTCAATACAAAATTTAATAACTTATAGTACTTGATATGTTGCATTCTTGTACATAATAAGATGCTAATTTATCTTTAATTTTATTAATATTTGAATGAATTTAATATGATTTTACTCAATTTTACATTATTTACATTGTTTGTGTAGGAAAGGATTGAACTTTTAAAAATAATAAATTTTGAACTAAATCATAATATTTTACAAAGTTAAAGGATGAATAAAATGGGGAAATTGAGGAGCAAATAATAGAATATAAAATCTAAGGATTAAAGTAAAAATTTTAGAAGTTGAGGACCAACATTGTAATTTTACATTTATGAAAAGAAGCAGAAGACCATCAAGGAAATACATGGTGAGGGTGCACTAATGATCTACTGGTCCAAGTAGAAAAATTCAGTTTTTCTTTAAAAAAATTTTGAGTTTGAGTCTTATAAATAAAAAAATAAACGGTAAAAGATCTTTCTCTTATAGGTTCTAACACACCCAAACTTCATATTAATTAGGACCCAATGTTGTTTTCGGGTATCGGAAATAAGTAAAAAGAAAAATGGTGAGGGTGCCAGCACCTCTTTATATTCTTTTTTTTTTCTTTTTCATTGTCTATTTATATAAATATGAAATAAATAGTAGCTCTAGTGCTATAAAATTGGAAATATATTAAAGAAAGGTCAAGTCAAATGTATAATAAGAAAGTGTGGAAAAAATTAATAAAAATAAATTTTATTAATGTTGGATTGCAATATTATGTATGTTAAATATAAACTACTCTTTAATAGATATTCGTTCAAAAGTCTATTAAGTATTTATTAAAAATTTTTTAAAGCCCATTTGATATTTATAGAGGATTTTTTAAAAGTCTAATGGGTATTTATTTAACAATTTTAAGTAGAATTTTATTGTTATAGTAGTTTTATATATAATTAAGATAAATTTGAAATTACATCACAATATTTCACAAAGTTAAAGATGAATAAAATAGTGGGATTGAGAAGTAAATTGTAGATTTATGAAGTCTAAGGACTAAAGTATAAAAATTTTACAAAGTTGACGACCAACACTATAATTTTACCTTATGAAAAACCAAAAGAAATAAATGGTGAGGGTGCCGGCACCTCATCTTATTTATTTATTTTTTGTCCATTTATATTATAGGAAATAAATTGTAATGCTAGTGCTATAAAATTGGAAAAATATTAAAAAAAATCAAATCAAACCTATAATAAGAGAGTGTGAAGAAAATTAATAAAAAATAAAATTTTATTTAAGTATGATTACAATATTATATATGTCAAATATAAATTATTATGTAATATATATATTTTTAAAAAATCTATTAGATATTTATTAAAAATTCTTTAAAACTCATTATGTATTTATTAGAGATTTCTTTAAAAGTTTAAGAAGTATTTATTTAGGATCTTTTTAAGTGTAATGAGTATTTATTTAAAAATTTTAAGAAAAATATTATTATTATAATAATTTTATATATAATTAAGATTTTTATTATTATAACAGTTATATTTATATATATATAGAGAGAGTTAAAATATTATATCTATGGTGGAGTTAGTAGATCCAACAGTTTTTAATTTTTTATATTGATAATCTAGTGGTTCGAGTGAAAGGAACTTGGTTCCTCTTAAATAAGATTTCAAGTTCGAGTTTTGTGAATAGAGAAATAGGTATTAGGAGAGTTTTCTCCCTAATGGAATCCGATGCGATTCGATTATGAATTAATTAAAAACTAATGTGATTACTGAATACCAAGAAGTTAGTAAAAAAAAAAAAAAACAGTTTTTAATCTTTGGCATGATTCACACGGCCATCTGCTGCTTTTCCTTTTTCAGAAAAAAATGTCATCGTTGCAGTAATATTCTTCCACTTTAAACAGGCTTCCTTATCAAATTAGATATCCAATACAAACTTGTTATCATTGCAAAGTAGTAAATTATATTCCAATTTTAATATATAAATAAGCATGAGCTTTTCCTTCTAAATGCTCACTTTAAAACACCGTAAACTGCAAATGGTCTCGCAAAGAAAGTAGACTTGTCCAACATGGAACAACCCATACAAACGACGAGCAGACGGGAATCCTTGGAGGATGCATTGAAATCCTTGGAGGATGAACGCAGCCTTTCCACTTGGGCAAGAGACAAGCCAGTGAAGCCGAAGCCAATGATACAAATGGTTACACACATGCTACGAGACGAAAAGAATTATTTCCAACGGTATTTTGAACCAAAGTTCGTTGCATTCGGTCCCCTCCACCACGACAATAGTCCTGATTCAAAACTCCGAAGAGGTGAGGAGAACAAGTTACAAATGGCGGCAAAGTTCATCAAGGATAGTGGGATGGAGATGGAAGTCTTCTACGGTAATGTCAAAGCGAAGATCGATGTCTTGATGAAGTGCTATGACTGCAAGCTGATAGAGAAATGGAAAGAAGAGGACTTGGCCTGGATGTTCGTTGTGGATGGCTGCGCGGCATTGTTCTTCATAGATCATGATGCGAATGACAATCTGAAGGCGCTTGAAGTTAAGGATGATGTGCTCAATTATGTGAAGATGGATTTATTCTTGCTTGAGAACCAATTACCGTACCTACTCCTTCAGATATTGATGGAGTCTTGCAATAAAGTTCCTCCTTTTACCCTGGCTGAAAACCAATCTCGTGCCGAGGTATTGAAGACGTCCATCACCACCTTCATTAATAAGAGTGTCATGAGCCCGGTTGAGCAGGAGCAGCAAAAGCATCTGGTGAGTCCAGTTGATCAGGTTGAGCAGCAAAATTATTGGGTAAAATATTCAGAACAACAGCAAAAAGCAGCAGCAACAGCAACAACAATTACAATTGACACTCAACGAGAACCTGCTCATCTTCTGGAGCTATTGTGGAGAAGACTGACCAAATCAGAAAAGTATAAGGGAGATGGAACCATAAGTAAGCTCATGAAGAAGTTGTCCCCTTCTGGTGATAAGGGAATTGGTTCGAAAGGAAGCCGCAAGCCTCGTGGCAGGACCAGCCATTATAGGCACACATTTCGAAACGTGAAGGAGCTGAAAGAAAAGGGGATTAGACTTAAAGTTAGCAAGACAAGCAGTATCAGGGATATTTCTTTTCAAGAAAATTTAGTCTTCCCAACCCTAATGCTGCCTCCCATGACAGTGGACGACTTCACTGGGCGCAAGTTAATGAACTTGATAGCGTATGAGATGTGTCCTGATTTTGATAACAAATTCGAGATCAGCTCCTATGTGTCCTTCCTTGATTCCTTGATCGATCAAGCGGAGGATGTGAAGGAACTGAGAGATGCTGGCGTGCTGCACAACGGACTAGGAAGTGACAATTATGTATCGTTGTTGTTCAATGAGATCAGCACAAACCTGGTGCCAAATCCTGAACTGCACTTAGAGTTGAAACATCGTATCCAAGCACATTGCAACGCTGTATTCGCCCCCCACGTGGCTCAATTCTGGCACACCTATTTCAGGAGCCCCTGGAGCTTCATGGCCTTGGTCGGTGCCCTGTTGGGTCTTGGTTTGACAGCTGCACAGACTATTGCGCGCTTCCGCGAGTCTTCACATCGGCCAGGTCCATTCCATCCCTAGTATGATACTACTACTACAATGTGTGTTTCCATTAGGCTGCCAAAAGAATAAATGCAAATGCTCGTGTGGTTTTAGGCTTGTGGTTTCCGCAGTACCAAAAATTAAAACAATATAGAAAGATTAATAACATTCCTGGTATCCCAAATCCAAAGATCTTCCCCCGAAGAATGGTTTTGAAACTAGACTCTGTTTCTCTAATACTTTGGCCTCTGGCTAGGCTCATCATAGGGTCGCCTCTAGTGTATTGTTTTCTTAGTGTATTGTTTTCTTAGTGTATTGTTATCTTGTAAAGTGTGAGAGATGAAGATGAACCATTGACTTCTACGGTATATACATTTTGTTCGTTTCATGGTCTCTATAGTTTGATTTCTGATTTGTGGAAAATTTGAAGATTAATTTTTCCATTATTGACCAACAAGAAGTTAATTTCCGAGCACAAAATGCATACTAAATGAGTTTTCTATGCAATTGTGTAAGATTAAACTATAAAAACTATAACATCCAAATCAGACGAGCGGGAGCAGAGAACAAAATTATGTAACCTTTCTGTACAATGCCTAGGTTTTTACATAAAAACCTAACTCAGCCAAGACACAAAGCAACCTTATTTTGGGTTTGGGAGGGTTCAGGGGTCTATATGTACGTAACAGCAGGACTGTGAAAGGAATTCCCTTGAGGTCCATCTCTCTTCATACCTCCCAAATGAGTAAGCTGCGGCAGGCACCTCTGTTAGGTGGAGAGGGCCGGTTCAATGCCATAATCTGTCAGTGGTCTGTGCTCAAGAATATCATCGTGATTCTGCACAAATTCAGGGATCTCAACCTCCCTCTTCTTTATGTCCTCCCAGAGGTACTGGAGGCGGCTTACGTACTTGATCTTCCAATATAAGCTGAAAAAACAAAAGTTAAAGTTACAGCAAAAGCAAAAGCAAAAGCAATAGCAAAAGCAAAAGCAATGTTAATGATAACAATGATAACAAACTTAATTTAGAACCATAACAAGTTTGGTATTGGAATTTTAATACTATAATTACTTTTTTACCTCAAAGAGAAAAGGAGCAGGAATCCTAATGCATGTTTTGCACGCAGGGAAATGATCATGTGCATATACTTTCATTAATTTACATGAAAAATATATTAGCTGTCATATTTATTACAATTTTGAAATTTGGACTGAATCAATCGGTTCAAGTGATTTTATCAAAGCCGATCTTAAAAATGGGCTGGTGTTGGGAGTAGGCCCAACATCTAATTTGGGCAATAGGCCCAACACTTAATCCAGGCCACATGCAACAGGCCACTATACACAACAAGCCTAGTTATACACTCATAATCCCAAAGTGAGGAAACATACCCATGTGGGTAGTAACATGTGGGCCAATCGCATACATACACGTATGGACTTATGTCAGTAGATGGAGCTATAAATACCCCCCAACTACCTCTATGCAGGGTATTAACTCCACTACGCTTTTCTCTCTGCAATTACTCTTTGAGAGCATCTCTCTCTAAAATATTAAGTATTGCTAACTTGAGTGTTGGAGTACTTTCCCCGATGAAACATCTTCGGGATTTTCAGGTATTGAAGTAGCTGAAGACATCTACAGTATTAGATCGTGAAGCTGCCCAAACATTTGGCATTGTTTGTAGGAAACGAACAAAAAGTGTTGTAGTTTAATTAGATTGAGCTGAAAATGGTACTTACCTTCATAGGAAACCGCCCCCCAAGAGGTAGCATGGATGACCAGGATAATACTCAACTCCTAGAAAGTGACCTCAATGACATCCAAATAATGTCGAGGAACCTTTTCGTTGGCGAAGCAGAGCAAGAACAATCAAACACTTCAGATGATGAAAGAACACCTATTAGGTACGCAACCCAACTTGAAGAACAGTTTCACATCTCAGCGGAAGCCAAGCGAAGGCATTCCAGACATAATACTTCACGACCTGAGAGACCCATGAAATCTGCTCGGATGATCGAGCTGGAAGAAAGAACCAGAGTTTTAGAAATGGCCATGGGAAAAATTCTTTCTCGTCTGATTCCTAATGACCCCTTAATTCCCCTATTGAATAAGGGTGAGCAGCTAGCAACAATAGTTGCAACCCGCAATTCCCCAGCCTTGAGCAATGTGGTGATCCTAACTAGACCAAGAGGAAGTGGGAAGTTAAATCCAGAACCTAGCTCATCCAGGCATAATGAAGAATTGCTAAAGAAGAATGCTAATCTTGAAAGACAACTTAAAGATGTACAGAGGTCTATTGGGGAGCTAAAAAGCCCCAGGTCGCGTCAACAGGTTCTCAACTTGGATAGCGCCCCTCTCAACTTGTCCATTATGGCATAACCATACCAAGAGGGCTTTAAGATTCCTCATTTGGAGACGTATGATGGCTTAGGTGATCCAGACGAACATTTACATACTTATCAGGCCATCATGAGAATCCAAAACGCTACTGATGCTATGATGTGCAAAGTTTTTCTTGCAACATTGAAATCAACTGCCAGAAGTTGGTATCACAAGCTCCCTAGACATTCCATAACTTCCTATTCTAAGCTTGCTACATTGTTTTCAAATAAGTTTGCGAGTCAAAGGGAAATTAAACGCACCGCTACCGAGCTGATGCAGGTTCATCAAAAGGAGGGAGAATCTTTAAGGGACCATATGCAACGGTTCAACAAGTCCACTCTAGACATTGATAATGTCCCTGACACCATTTGTATGTTCGCTTTGTTGCATGGTCTCAAACTTGGCCGGTTCTTGGACGACCTGCTAGAGAATCCGCCGAAGTCGTGGAACGAAGTAAATGACAGGTCAGCGAGCTTCATATTGTCAGAAGACTTCCAGTCATTTAAACGACAAGCTGACGATAGACAGAATAAAGAGCACAAACAGCCAGAAGGAAGAGAAGAAAAGAAAAAGCAAAAAGTTGGCGAGCAGAGAGGAAAGCCACCTTCCTTCCTAAAATATGCTAATTACATACCGCTGAGCTCGTCTAAGTCTCAAATACTGGCACAGATACAACATTGATTAAGAGACCATCTCCGTAGATGCATGATTCCCCATGACCTGATAGGAGTAAATATTGTGACTATCACCGTGGGTACGGTCATACCACAGAGGACTGTTAGAACTTGAAGGATGAGTTGGAATTTTTAGCTCGCAATGGAAAATTGGAGGGATATGTACAGAAACCTTACGCCCAGAAACCCAATTAGACCCATTTTGTGCAAGAATATGGCTGATCTCAGGGGCAAGGGTATCAGCTCGGCAACAATCAAAATCCTTATCAGGGGAATCAATACTCATCTAAATTTGGCAAAACCTACAGAGGACGCTCATTTAATCGACGAGGACAGGGATAGAAAACCTTTACACAGAATCAAAAAGACCATTAAGGGGTCGGTTACTGTGGGATACCCCCACCTTCTGGCACAATCAACATGATTTCCAGTGGCATGCATTTAGGAGGCCAAAGTGCTCGAGGTCGTAAAGCTTATGCTCGCCAGGTGATGACAGTAAACAAGAATAGGCCCCTGAAACGACCTTTTAAAGAGGTAGAGTGGGAAAATGCACCAATTACATTCAGCTCGGCTGATTATAAGCGACTAGAGGGAGAACGAGATGTTATGATGCGCCATGCTGACCCATTTATGGCAACAGTTCATATTGGCAATTGTTGTAACTATAACTCCAAATTGGAGAAAAATTAGGATCACATGATTTCTAGAGATTTTCTGTGATTTTGAATTTAAATTATAGATAGGGTTTGTTAAATGAGGATTTGGGGAAAATCTCTAGGTAGAGCTTAAAAGGACCTCAAGGAATAGCAAAAGGGGATAGAGACTGAATCTCAAACTCTGTATTTTCTTCTTCCATTAATGAAATCCTAGTGACTCCAATTGATTGGGTCCTTTAAATTATTTTTTAGTGTTAACATTTGGCGCCCACCGTGGGGCCAATTATTGCTCATGGTGAACCCTTACAATTAAGCAATGGCCAACAATCGGTGGACTCGTTATGGCGCAAGGTCTACTACAACCCCATCTTCATCTTCATGAAATTCTACTCGGCAAGTCCAGAGATTAGGTCCTTCTAAGCGTGGGAATATAGTAGAGGATCAAATTCAACATCTCACCCAGAATATGGCGCAAATGGAAAGAAGTGTACATGCAATTGAACAAGCGGTGACGCTTCTAACAGAAAACCATGGCCAATTACATTTGCCATCGATTCGTGCACATCGGGCTCGTGTACCACTAAGGAGGTATTCTCCATCACAAATGTTCAGAAATCAACGACGTACCCCCCCAATCACAGGATCTTTTGTTCTCCCTAGTGCAAAGAGAAGGTTCAAATGTGGAAACACAAGAGAACGATCCTGACTATGTCCCATCACAACGGTCGACAAGTGTAGACAATATCAACACTCTCAAACCAACCTTGGCTTTTTCAGTCCCACATTGGAACTTCCGTCCTCGCAGGTTGGCACATGTATCACACACTTGGACCCGAGGCTCTACGAGTGCAAATACTCCCGAGTTAGCAAGTAGAGTCCAAGCCCAGCATCACTGTAGGGGTGATGAACCTACACAGGCCAATTCGGAGGATAAAACAATGATAGCTAACCGCAAGGCGCAATTAAGTTGCACGCGAGACTCCCTTAAGGAGCGAAATGAGACTTTGCAAAAGGACATGGAAACTTTGCGCCAACAGATGGCAGAGTTGCGCATGGCACAACAACAGGCAACAGATGCTCCACAAATAGCCTCTATAGGTGATCCATTCTTTGATGAGATAATTAAAGAACCCATGCCTCCATCATTCAAGCCACCTCAATTGACATAGTATGATGGAACACAAGACTCGATAGAGCATGTGCGGAGTTACAAGCTAGCAATGATGATTTACAGAGCGTCTGATGCTTTATTGTGTAGAGTGTTCCTTTCTACATTGAAGAAAGCAGCTCAAACCTGGTACTTTAAATTGAAAGCTAAGTCTATTAATGCTTTTAAGCAATTAGAAATATGTTTTATTGAGCATTTTACTGCTAGCAAAGTCCTGAAGAAGACTAACCACCATCTAATGAGTATTAGGCAGAAGACTGATGAAAGTTTAAGGGCCTACATTGCTCGTTTCCATAATGAATCTTTGCAGGTGGATAATCTAGATGAAGGAGTGGCAATGCATGCCTTGATGAATGGCTTGAAAGATTGTGATTTCTTGCACTCTCTAAATAGAGAAAGACCAAAGAGCCTTAAAGACATACTTCACAGGTCAAAAGGCTATATTCGAGTTGAAGAACGTGCTGTAGCCAAGAAAGGTGGTGAGTCTTTAGAACCTAATTCAGTTGTAGTAGGAAATAAAAAGCGAAGGTTTGACAGGTCAAATGACATAGCTGATGTTAGAGGAGAAAAGCGAGGAGTTGTTAGAAATCTCAAGAATTATCTCTTTACATTGCAAGAGGTGCCAAGGGTGTATACCACATTCACACCTTTAAACACCTCAATGGTGCATATACTTACAGTGGCGAAGGAGACAGAACACCTCAATTGGCCTAAAAAGCTTCGTAGTAATGGTAACAAGTGTGATAAGACTCGTCACTGTGCATTTCATGGGATCCATGGTCACGATACAAAGGATTGTAAGTAGCTCAGAATGGAAATTGAATGATTAATTCGTAGGGGAGTGTTGAGGCAATTTGTCGAGCATCCAAGAAGCCAAAGGGGAGCAAGGATAATGGAAAGGTCGCAAGACAGTAGGGAAGTTGGTAGACATAAAGAGAAGGAACCTTTAGATGTTGTGGGGGTAATTAATGTTATAACAGTCCCGCCTTCAGCAACTCTAGCATCTATGGCTTTAGCAGTCAAAGGAAGCAATGAAAGCCAACCTTCAACTCAAACCATCACTTTCATTGGGAAGGATCTAGATCAAAGGGAGGTGTTCCCACATGATCCACTAATGATTGAAATAGTGGTGGAAGATAGAAATCTACGAAAGGGCAAGGTAATGAAACGTGTCTTGGTGGACACAGGGAGTTGCAGAGATGTGATGTGTTATGGAGCATTCAAAAAGCTAGGAGTATTTCCACAACTATTGAGACCTTGTGATTTTCCATTGGTAGGCCTTTCTAGAAAATCCGTGCCTGTAAAAGGTATTATCTCTCTCCCTATTCATGTTGGTGTTCCCCCTTGTGTGGCTGTTGTTACCTTAGATTTCTTTGTTATTGATGTCCCTTCCCCTTTTAATGCAATTTTGGGATGTCCTAGGCTTAACTCCTTACAAGTGATGGTCTCTACACAAGCAATGATGATAAAGTTCCCTACGCCAAATGGAGTTGGAATGGCAAGAGGGAAGCTTGTTGAAGTAGTGGAGTGAACACCACAAGATCAAGACGAAGTGCAAACATCAGAACCTAGCAAAGTGACTAAGAAAAAGTACAAGTCAAACATTGGGATCTGGTGGCTCTTGGAGATATTGTCAGGGAAAAAACTTTGACAGTAGACAACCTAGACATGAGGGAGGAATTGAAGGAATGTCGAACTGAGCCAATTAACCAAGTAAAACCTGTTGTTCTTGATGAGAAGAGGCCCGAGCGTTTAGTCAACATTGGTGTAGACATGGATTCAAGCTTTATGGCACGATTGGAAAATTGCTTAAGGGAGCATAAAGACATTTTTGCATGGTGTCCATTAGATATGCCAGGTATCGATCCAAAGGTTGCATGCCATAGGCTTGGAGTTAACTCAGATGCTGTTCCTATTAGACAGAAAGTGTGACACTTCGGGGCTGAAAGGACTGCAGCTATTAAAAAGAGGTAGCAAAGCTTAAAGAGGCAGGATTCATTCAAGAGATTACTTTTTCTGAATGGTTATCAAATGTGGTGATGGTGAAAAAGGCTAATGGAAAGTGGTGAATGTGTGTGGACTTTATAGACTTAAACAAGGTATGTCCCAAAGACAACTATCCTTTGCCAAATATTGATGAACTAGTTGATAATTCCTCTGGTTATGTGGTTTTGAGTTTATGTGATGCATACTCTGGGTATAACCAAATTCCTATGGCAAAGGAGGATAGGGATAAAACTGCGTTCATAGCAGTAGGTGCTACTTATTGTTATGTTGTCATGCCCTTCGGTCTAAAAAATGCAAGAGCTACCTATCAAAGGTTTGTTAATAAGATATTTGTATATCTAAAGCGTAAATGTGTTGAAGTTTATGTGGATGATATTTTGGTGAAAAGCAAAAGCTTAGACCAACACATTGAAGACCTGAAACAAGTCTTCGAGGTACTCAAAACCCATAACATGAAGTTGAATCCTACAAAATGCACTTTTGGAGTTAAGGCTAGGAAATTCTTAGGATTCATGTTGACAAGTAGGGGCATTGAAGTCAATCTTGAGAAGATTCGTGTAGTGTTGGAGATGAAACCTCCATCCTTAATAAAGGAAGTTCAGAAGCTAATGGGAAAGGTAGTTGCATTGAGCAGGTTCGTATCAAAATCTGCAGAACGATGCCGACCTATTTTAAAAACTTTACGTGGCAATAAAAATTTTGAGTGGACCTCTGATTGTCAAAAAGCATTCGATCAGTTGAAAGTATACTTATCATCTCCACCATTGATGAGCAGGGTAGTTCCAGGCGAGAAATTGTACCAGTATATTGCTGTGAGTACCGAGGCAATCAGTGTTGCATTGGTTAGGGAAGATGGAAGCAAGCAGGAGCCTGTGTATTATGTTAAAAAAGTGTTTGCAAGGGGCTAAGACAAGATACAAGCCTTTGGAGAAGTTGGCCTATGCTGTAATTATCTCTGCTAGACGTCTCAGGTACTACTTCCTTGGCCATACGATAGTTGTTTTAACAAATTACCCATTACGGCAGATCTTGCAGAAACCAGATTTGGTAGGGAGACTTGTAAGGTGGAGTATTGAGCTCATAGAGTTTGAATTGGAGTTTCAGCCATGGAGAGTAATGAAAGCACAAGTATTGGCAGGTTTCATAGCAGAGTTAAGTAAGGAGGAAAAGGTTGTAATGCTGGCACCACCCATAGATGTACCATGTAAGAGGAAAGCTCCAAAGCCAAAGAAACCAACAAAAAACCTACCTTCTAACCTTGTGTGGAACCTATATGTTGATGGGTCTTCTAATGCAGCAGGAAGTGGAGCAGGAATAATCTTAATCTTTCCAGAGGGAGAAACTTTTGAGTGTGCATTAAAATTTAATTTTGAGGCGTCGAACAATCGTGTAGAGTGTGAGGCACTTCTTAAGGGATTGAGACTTGCCAAGGCAGCAAGAGTGGAGTACTTAAGGATTTATAGTGATTCACAACTTATAGTGAATCAAGTCAATGGTGACTTCATTGCAATAGAGCAGGTAATGGCTCAATATTTGTCTGTAACTATGCAATTTTTACAATCCTTCCAAGGATATGAGTTGAGCCAAGTAAGAAGGTCAGAGAACCTTAAAGCTGATGCCTTGGCAAAGCTGGCAAGCACAGGACTAGGTGTGTCTGGAGTGGAAGTTTACATAGAGACACTTTCTTCACCAAGTATAGAGATGGAAAATGCTTTGCCAACACATGAGGAGCAAAGTTGGATAGATCCAATTCTCACTTTCCTTAAAAGTGGAATCTTACCAGAAGATGAAAAAGAAGCTAAAAAATTACGGAGAAAAGCTGCTTGGTACACAATTTTTGACGGGCAACTTTATCGTAGATCCTATACACATCCTTTATTGAAGTGTTTAGGGCCTATAGAAGCATAGATAGTGTTGGAATAGGTACATGAAGGACTTTGCTCGAGCCATATAACGGTAGATTCTCTAGCACATAAAATCCTCCGCCAAGGCTATTTTTGGCCTACAATGAAAGCTGATGCTAAAGCATATGTCAAGAAGTGTGATAGATGTCAGAGATTTGCCCATGTCTAGCATCAACCTGCTAACCCTTTGCACATGATAGTAGTCCCATGGCCTTTTGCTCAATGAGGGATGGACATCCTTGGTCCTTTCCCCGAGGCTAAGGGAAGAAAAAAATTCCTTATTGTGGCCATAGACTACTTTACTAAGTGGATCAAGGCAGAACCAATAGCTCGAATAACAAAAAAAAAGGTAGAAGAGTTCGTAAAAAAACACATTATGTGTCGGTTTGGGATGCCGACGGTTCTGTTACAGATAATGGAACGCAATTTGCAAGTGAGGCCTTCAAAGATTTCTACCAAACAAGAAAGATAAAGATGAGGTTTTCGGTTAGAGCACAGTTAGAGATAAAAGGTTTGAGTTTATAGCAAATTGAGCAGAGGTTTGCTTCTGTAGCTTATCTAGAGTCTAATGGACAGGTAGAGGTAGAAAATAAGGCTATCTTGGAGAGTTTAAAGAAGAAGGTAGGGTCTGCAAAAGGAACTTGGACAGAGGAGTTGCCATACACTTTATGGGCGTACAGAACAACATATAAGACTCCAACAGGAGAAACTCTGTTCAACTTAACATATGGCTCAGAAGCTGTGGTGTCGGTTGAAGTTAAGGTGCCAAATTACAGAACAAACTACTTTAATGCCAACTCCAATGAACAAGCTTTAAGGGAGAATCTGGATCTTTTGGATGAATCTAGGGATCTGTCCCAAATTCGTGTTGCCCATTACCATAGGAGAATGGAGAAGTACTACAACAGTAAAGTTAGACCCAAGGGCTTACACCAAGGAGACTGGGTCTTGCGAAAGGTAGAGGTCATAGAGCGCAATTCTTATGAAGGGAAGTTATGCCCTAGTTGGGAAGGACCATATTTGATTCAAAAAGACTTGGGTAATGGAGCTTTTAAACTTGTTAAGCCGAGTGGAACTCCAATCCCAAGGGCTTGGAATGCAGCTCATTTGAAGAAGTATTATCAGTAATTTTTTCTTGTTTTAACAAGGTTGAATAAATTTTTTGAATAAAACCTTTGCCAATGTTGCGTATTACTTTGAATAGCATGCCTAATTTCTCTGATTTTATCTAATTACGCAAAATTCTATAACTCTAACTTTGTTTTGA